TTCAAATTTTAATATTTTTCTTATTCTAACATTTGGTTACACAAAAGTTTTTTTATCTAGACATGAATATATTCAGACTTCTATTTATAAGGTTTTTATTAATGAATAATTTATTTATATTATTTCATTAAGCTTAAGACGCGGAAAAAAAAATTCCGACGTTGCCCCCGAACTATCGAACAATTATATTCTCGCCCCGGGCTCCCGAATACGCCGGACTGGCCCTGGTAACCTTTTTCTTCAGCTGTTGATTTAAGTTGAAAAAATATTTGTAAGCAAATTAAAAAAATAGAATGCATGATCATATCTTCTTCTATTGGATGTGTCTCCATTGACCTCGGCATTGAAACTGTTGGAGGAGTGATGACCAAATTGATCCAAACAAACACTGTTATCTCATCCACAAAATCCCAGTTCACCACCAATAGCCAGCACCAACAAACTACCGTCACGATTCAGATGCTCACTGAATTTGATTCTTTAATTATTTGGAAAGATCACATTCCCATGTAACCAACAAATAACACATAATTATATATTTTTTGCATTTAGAAATGTTTTCGAGAGTGAAAGAAGTCTTACAAAGGACTGTAGCTAACTGGAGCTCCGACGACCCGCGGCCAGAAAAAAAGAAGTGAATTTTTCTTTCTAAAAAAAAAGAAAAAACAATCCCTACCAATGTTAAAGTTAGGGTAAATTACAAACACCCCCCTGAGGTATGGTCAAATTACAAAAAAAACCCTCTTGTTTGGTTAATTACATCTACCCCCTAAGCTATGATTTTTTCTTACACCTCCACCCTTATGGTGCCAAATTCAACATAATCATCTAGATTCCGTGGAATGTGCTCTAGTTTGTACTCGTTTTGTGTAAAAATACAGTTTTTGATGCACCACAAACTGATATATACAAGCTAAAAAACACATATTATGATCATCTTGCTTCATAATGTAGAGTTCGAACGGAATAAAACAGGTACAAAAGTGATACTATTGCATATAATCTTGAAGATTCCACTAAATTTGAAGAGTTGAGGGGGTCATTGTAATTATCCAAACAAGAGGGGTGTTTTTGTAATTTGATCATACCTCAGGGGGGTGTTTGTAATTTACCCTTAAAGTTAACTAATGTTGAGTCAACTGATTGGATCTCCGACGACCCACCACCAGAAAAAAAAATTAAAACAATAAATAAATAAAAGAAAAATGGATTGTCTAAAGTTAAGTAATTGAAGTTAGCTAATGCTGAGTCAGTTAGCTGGAGCTTCGACGACCCGCCGAAAAAAAAGAATCTTTTTTTTTTCAAAAAGAAAAGAAAAAGAAAAAAAATATTTGATTGGGTCAGACCGCCCTGGTAGGAGGGTGGGATGCGATGGGGGTGGTTTGAACTTATCTCAAATAAAAATATGTAGGGCCATTTTGTGAATTAATATTTTTGTGGGTTTATTAGAAATGAAAGTTAAATGGAGAGTCTATTTGTAGTAAAATTTGAATTTGTGGGTGTATGTCAAATTCGCCCTAATTTTAATTTCCCAACTCATATTCACGGATTAAGATTTTATAAAGCAAACCTGATCTTTCTATCATTATCAGTTGGGTAAATTACAGTTTGCACCCCTGTACTATCGAAAAGATCGCATTCACCCCCTTATAATATCAAAATCTACAAATACACTCCTGCCGTTAGCACTGACTGTTGACTCCGTTTGTCAAACGCGTTGACCGACCGTTTCATAGAGCCTTTGGCTTTTTTCTAAAATCACTACATAAATGTTGCATACTCTTGCCCATTTTTTCTCACCAAAATTTTCACCTTTTCAGATCGTTTTTTCTCCTTTTTTTTTTCCTCTTTTTCTCGTTTTTTCTCTTGTTTTATTTTCTCCTCGTTTTTTCTCCAACTTTCCCCTCTTTTCTCGTTTTTCTCATGTTTTCTTTTCTCCTTGAATTCTGCATTTCATTCAACTTCAATTCCTATTATTTTTCCAGCTTCGTTTTCTTTATTTTTTTTCACGCTAAAATATCTTCTAATGGTTCAAATTCTCAACGATCGTGTTTTAGATCCAAACATTATATGTCTTATTTTTCTGGAACCATCAACTCCAATGTCATCCCTCCAATGTAGTCAAAACCATCAATTGTGAATCTCCCTCCCTAGTGGATCTTAAGAGTAAACAACTGATCATTCATTTTTTCTGCATTAAAATAAAAATAAAAATAAAAATTCAATCAATAAAATCTCATAAAAAAAACTAAATTTCAACGAATAGTACACATCGACGAAAGCCCTAATTTTAACGAACAGTAAAAATCGACAACAATAAAAAAGAAAACCTAAATTTTACTAAAAAACATACCCTAAACCTTCAAAGCTCATCGAATTCAAGAAACCCCCCAAAAAAATTTACTGTACCCACACAAGTAAAATTGAATGGCTTAGTCGAGAAAACCCCTAAAATTGAAAATCTTAACTTCTTCTACAGTAAGCTTCCTTCGAATGCACTCATTCAGTAGTTCTTAAAACCAATTTCGCAAAAACTCAGAGAGAAAGGGAGATTTTTGTGAGACTTTTTTCCTTATGAAAATTCGAAAGGAGAGGCAGAGAGTGAGTGTGTGTTTTTGTGAGGGAATGAAAAGACTTGGCGAAATTTCGACACTCATCAGACGTAAAAATGAGGGTAGAAGAGTAATTGCACAGTAAAAGTTAACACCGTCACATGTCTGACCATTGACTGTTAAAAGCAGGGGGTATTTGTAGATTTTGATAGTACAGGGGTTGAATGCGACCTTTTCGATAGTACAGGGGTGCAAGCTGTAATTCACCCTTATCAGTTAATACATCGTTCCTTTTGACTTGATTAGGAGGCAATAATGATAATATAATCAAGGTATGTTGAGACTTAGAAGTTAGAACATAAGTTTGATTTGAATTGTTGAGTTCATATAGAATTAGTATTTCCAACTCAAACCAAACAATGCGTTGGCAGAAAATGAATCAAAGATTTTTGTGTATACACTCTAATTGTGTTCTTCTGCACATTCCTTGATTGATAAACTATTATATTTGTCTAGAAACAGGGAAGGAACAAGAAGAAGAACCCTTCTTGGAAAAAAGAAAAAAAACTAATGCTACAAAATTGTGATCCTCCTAAACATGTATATCCATGTTCTGCTCAAACGAGAAGTTAAATCAACAAATAGATCTTCACTGCAAGGAATAGTGATTCCGCCCATCGGATGATGGAATCCAAATTCTTCTTCAGCTTGAAATAGCAAATCTTGAAACAAAGGATTGTTTAAGTATGATAATGGAATAACAAATCGCTTCTTTTCATTATGCCCAACATAAACAGCTAAATGACCCTTTGGAACTTCAGTTGATTTTCTTTCGTTGGATAAAGATCGTCTCAACATTTGTCGTATGACCATTTTTTTATGAAATGAATCTTGCTTGAAAGTCGATTTTTTTTTTTTTTTTTGAGAGTATTATGAAATGAATGAAAGGCAAGAAAGGTAAGAGTGTTTTTTAGGATTTGTTGATGGTTGGAGTCAAGAAATGGTGTTGTATATATAGGTGAACTATTAATTGTATATACTTGAAAAAAAATCAAGATAGGAAATTGGATATGTGCTGGTCTATGAAACTTGAGAAAACATGTACATATGGAGTAACATGGATTTGTTTTGGACTTTATTAGAAAGACTTTAAGGCAAAATAATTTGTGTGATTTGAAAATATTGTTTCCTACAAACTATGATAAAATGGCCCTCAAAGTCTAGATGGTCCTATTGCAATAACAAGATTTGATGTGTACACCAAGTTGTCTATATATATGTTAAGTAGGTCCACCATGTGATAAAATGAATGTATATCTTCATCATTATGCATTCATCATTTTGCTTTCAGATATATAGTAGAAGAACTAGGTATCTCATGTGATTACGTTTGTTGGCAAAAATTGAACTAGATTTATCAGCGTTGAATTCCGAAAAGGAAATTAACCCTCCAAAAAGAGGCGTAGCCGTTTACGAGCTGTCTTGATAGTTAATGCTTTATTCATAATTGGTTTGCATAGACATATAGTGAACCGTGTATAAATAATAGACTCATAATACATGCGACAGCGGGTTATGAGTAATTTAGCGTCTCGGGTTAATAATCAGGAATCGTAACTTGCATGATAGTGATTTAACTGGGTGATGAATTATCGCATAGGGGGAGATAAAATCATAAATCCGTTTTTATTGATATTCTCTTGAGTTTACTTTTATAACTAGTTTAATTATTTAGTTGATTAAATTTGACAACCTTGGGTAGGCTTGATAAAAATCATAATTGTTAGAATTTGGTACTTAGGATTAGGTAATTTGAGTATTCCATGTGGGATCGACATTTGACTCTCACGAGTCCATTATTACTACTTGTTTGCGATACGTGCACTTGCGTGTTAGGTATTTAGCCCAACAACCGTCTAAGAATTTTGTGAATCCATCGATTTTTTGTTGAAGTAAAACTTTGTGAAGCCGAAGATGAAAAATGAAGGAATATGTATTTGATATTTCTATCTGTGAAGCAATTGAAATATGAGAATTGAGTTTTTGAATTAATATTCACAAAATGCTTAATTAGACGTTAATTCTTTATCTGCTGAAAAGAGATTCAATGAAGTTCCAAAGGGGCTTTTGGCTATTTACATCGGAGAAAGTTGAAAAGAAGCGCTTTGTTATTCTGCTAACGTATTAGAACCATCCTTCCTTTCAAGAATTACTATGCCATGCTACATGTTTCTGCTAGATAATTTGATTTTATTTAATATTGAAATCTAGAAAGAAAAAAATTTCATACATTTCGCCTATACATATTATTTGGGGGCTATTACTTTTTTATATTATTTTTTTAATAGGCCATAGGCCTTGTTGATTGCTGATCCCCAGTCAGCAAGTATTTTTCTTATTCACAGTTCTTCTCTTTATGCAGTGACTTATCAAAATGGCTCAAGAGTGTAGGAATCTTTTCAAGGTAATAATATCATTAAATTCTCGAGACAAAATATGTATCTTCTGTGTCTGAAAATAAAAAAAGAAGTATGTCCAGCTGGAACTAGCTAACAAAAAAAAAAGTATTGCTCTATGAAACCTAGTCTATATATTATGCTCTGCTCAAGTGAGTGGTGATATCAATGAATAACTCTTCACTGCAAGGAATTGTGAGGCCGCCCATTTGATGATGGAATCCGAATTCTTCTTCAGCTTGGCATAACAATTCTTGAAACAAAGGATTGTTCAAATACGATAATGGAATAACAAAGCGTTTCTTTTCACTCTCTCCGACGTAAACCGCAAAATGCCCCTTCGGAACTTCATTTGATCTTTTTTCAGCCGATAAAGACCGTCTAAGCATTTTGTGAATGGCCATCGATTTTTTGTTGAAGTAAATCTTTGTGAAGCGAAGATGAAAAATGAGGGAATATGTATTTGATAGTTCTGTCTGTTAAGCAATTGAAATATGAGAATTGTGTTTTTGAATTAATGTTCGCCATGTAAACCTCTATATATAGATAGTAGTACTTGTAAATTAAAGGCCGTATGTACCCATGAGAAACTAGCTGGACTGATTGGTGATCAAAAGAGGCCTAAAAGATTTGTGGTGTGTAGCAAAGTTTAAGAAACAAAAGCACATGAAACAATCACATTATTCCCACCATATCTCCAACAAGAAAACAGAATTATTAAATGTGAATTATTCACAAGATTGGACTAAGGTGTTTACAAACCTCACCAGCACACAAATTAGCAGACCATTATTAGATAGAGTTGATTAATTTGGTGGGCTGGCATTGTCATCGTCATTATGTTTATACGTCTTAGAATTTATTTCGTGCAGATATAAATTATTTGTGTCAGATTCAGTTTTTCGTTACTGTTGCGTGAAGTGTTGCAACAGTTCGTGAAGCAGTTCGTAAAAACAGAAATAAACGAGACACACATTTAATGTGGTTCGGATACAATTATACCCTACATCCACGGGGACCTGCAAATAAAATTTACTAATTTTTAGTTTTACGAATACAATAGTAGGACTTAATCAAAATACAAAGACTCCCTCTTTGTTAACGCCGTTCTTGTATACTACGTTGAATTACAAATCTTTAATATGCAGCACGTCCCTTGCTCCGCAAGGTTGAACTCTCTTCAACGCTGAATCCCTCAGTCGGCGGATCGATCTCCTCCCGAGATCTGTTTAAGCCCCTCTCCCGAAGAACCGATCTTCTTTTTGTATAGAAGAAGCAAACTTGTGATACTCCTTGAATCTTGGTGTCTTCACCACAAAGCCTTGAAGCCGATATATTTTCTATGAAAATCACGTATCACGATGGAACTATAAAAACGAGAGCCAATGATATTTTCTCTGTATATTTTCTCTCGATCAAAGACGTTCCATGCGCAACAATAAAAAGAGCAGAAAAATATGATTTTTCTCTCCAACATAAACCATAGAGTATGAGGCGCCGTTCTGCTGTATTTATACATCTACGGGTGATAAGAATCCTACAAGGAAAATAGAGTCCATTAGGGTTAGGAAACTCTTAATTAAGTAGGAAACAATATTTTCAATACAAGGAAACTCTTTAGAATAATAATTCCTATTATAAATCAATTAATGACAAATTAAAAGAATTAAAAGCTACAAGGACTCTTCCCTTCTTTAGCTCACGGTATATGCAAACTTGTGGCACAAGTTTCCTTAATTCTCGTATAATTAGAATCCATGGGATTCTAACAATCTCCCCCTTTGTCGTTTATTGATTATAATCATTTTCTCTCACTGAGTAAAAAACCTGAAAATAAAACAATCAGATGATTAGACGGAAACAAATAAAACTAAAGATCATCATCAACTCTTTCAACAACAAGAGTGGCATCAACTGCTGCAATAGTAAGTGCCACAGTTTCAGCAACTGTTCCCACAGTAGTGGCTTCGGCAGGTGGTTCACACCGGAGTCAGCTCCCCCTGCATGTGTATATCCCTCTGTGAATGATCCTTAGGCAGCTCCTCTTGTAAATGCATTCATTCTTCCCCTTTGCTTACTCGGTTTGATAGACTTGGAAGGCGGTGGATGACAACGTGGTAAATTATCCACGTGATAAAAAAACTCAGCAAATAACGTCTGCATTAGCTCCTCCTTTTATATTCTTGTGAAGACCTAAACCAATTAATGACAATAAACATCTCCATAGGTTTCCACTTGGTGTTGTGGACTTAGAATCCCACCGAGATTCTAACACTCTCCCCCTTTGGCATTGATTGGTCAGAACATTTACTCCCCCTAAATATATGATATATGCATGAACAAGGGTCAGCAAATTCAAAATAACATCTGCAAATATAAACTGGTGTAACAGTTTATCAAACAGTTCAGCAGATAGTGTACAGTTGTTCAATTAAGCAAAGAACAAAAAAAAATATGCAGTAGGAGAATCAACTTCCCTTTACAATGAATTCCTCCTTATTTGTCCTGTATTTCTGCACTATTCCAACAACTGTATGATGCATTGTCTCAACAGTTGTCTGAACTCCCCCTGCATTCCTGCACTGTTCCAGCAACTGTCTGATGCACTGTCGCAACAGTTGTCGGAACTCCCCGTTCATGCCATCGTTACTGTTCTTTTCTCCTGTTCTTTTCTCCCCCTTTCTGGGCAATCACCATGCAGAGATAACTCAACATGGACTAATGATCTTGATGATTCAAGCAAGCTGTTCAAACACTTAACAAAAAGATCAAAACGAAGAGAGAATCTTGGAAGTAAGTGAGAAGAATCACTATACATAACGTGCACACAAAATCACAAACTCACAAACTCAATACCACACGATAATTGCAATGCGAAAATCAAAGGATAGTGATATCAAATCCAACATTAAATAGCAAAGACTACACACTTTGCCAAACTTCATAAGAAACGTGGAAATGTGAGGAGTAAGCCCAATCGATCCGGTTGCAACAAAAAAAAAAAAAACAAATTTAACCGGCACATAAACAAAAATCCCGTCTCTCTCTCCCTTTTTTTTTTCTTTTTTAAATAATGCCTAATGCAGTACAAAAAGTAAACATGAGAAATAGACATGAGTGAAGAGACATATGTGAATAGGATACTGCATGGACAAACAAAACATATGGGATTTATCTTCACATTCACGATAAGCGCAATCCCCAAAAATCCAACTGCCAATGCAACCAACAAACTTAATAATCCCAAGTCAAACACAAAGATGCTCTTATTAGGTAGCGTACACACACGTCTAATGGTAGCTTTTTCCCACGAAAAACAGAGCAATTAAAAGGAACGAGATTATGGTGGTCGTGCAATGTGTAGTCCCCTGGGCTTTCTAATTGAGCTTTGTAGTAAGTGTTCGGTCAAGTGGTTTACTGGCTCGACTCAACTAGGCTTCGAACTATTCACTGACCATATATATAATTTATATTGGCCGTGCAATGTGTAGTCCCCTGGGCTTTCTAATTGAGCCTTGTAGCGAGCTTTCGGCCACGTGATTTACTGGCTCGACTCAAAAAGGATTCGAACTATTCACTGACCAAATGGTTGTAGATATATATATTAGTAACAGTAGTTCAAGAGTAGCTTTCACTCATTAAAAGAGGCAGTTTTTCCCTATAAAAACATCCAACCATGACAAGACTATTCAGAGAAATAAATAAGTTGGAGCCTTTTAAGTAATCATTTTGAGAATTGGTGAAGTTCTACCCCACAAAATTTAGAAATACACGAAGTATCAAATTCACATTTGTCTCAATCATATGCAGTATGCTTAATGCAGGTCCTATATGAGATGCAAAAACATATGAAGTGTCCTACCTCTAAAAGTTGCAAGTCTGGACACACAGACTGTTGCAACAGTTCATGCAACTGCATGAGATTAAACAACATAAATTCCCAACGATTTTCGCAAGGAATCAAATTTCTGTGCATCAAGGGTTTTTGCAAAAGCATCAGTTAATTCATTCTCCGTTGCAGCATAATCAATTGAGACAACCCCCTTTTCGACCAAGCCCCTTATGAAAAGATGACAAATATCAGTAAGCTTAGTTCTCGAATGCTGAATTGGATTCATAAACTTATTTTTCGCATACAAATTATCACAATTTAGATTACCAAGTTTTTTATTCCCCAAACTAGCTTTGTCACCAGAACTGTTGGAACAGTTAGTACTATCATCACATGAGTTTAAAGAACTAATGGCAGATAAACAATTAAGATCAGACTTCTTTACCCAGATTTTTTGTTGAGTTTTATTCACTAAATCAACCTTTATCTTGGGTTTTTGAGACGACACAAAAGTGTGATCAATTTTAGCGGAAAGTGGTGAGCGGGCCATTATTCTTTTAACCATTTTCAAGTACTTAAAACACCTGGGTCGTATATGACCAGGAACATGACAAAAATGACAGGTAGGAACAAAAACATTTCTTTGAAATGGCTGTGTTGGTGCAACTGTCGCAACAGTCTGTGAAACAGTGGATTGCTTAACGAAATTGATTTTTCTTTTAGGATTTTCTTTCTGTTTCGATGCACCAGTAGATAGCTGGTTACCCCCTATACCTATACGACAGTAGTTCGGCTGATTTTTGTTCAAAATTTCATTCAAAGTTACTCTACCAGTATTAAACTTATAAATAACATCTTGGGTTTGAGCAAATTTAGCCTGCAAGCTATCTATTTCTCTACTAGAAGAAATAACATTTTGTTCAAGAGTAGAAATTCTTACCTTCAACACTTTATTTTCCTCTATGAGAACATGCTTATCATTTTCAAGGCGCTTATTTACCTCAGATACTTCAAGCCACTTCCGGTACATTTTTTCATATACATCTTTCACCTCTTCGAGGGTTGGCTCTTCATCATCACTACTGCTCTCAGATTCACCTGCAAAATTAAATGATGAAGTCAGACTACTGTCCTTATTTAAAGATAATTCATCATACCTGAAATCTGTCGGACAGACTGTTGCAACAGTTCCCTCGGTTCTGCTCATCGAAGTAGTACCACTGAATGCCATAAAGTTAGTGGTTTGATCTCCTTTGCTGTTCTCATCCTCATCACTGTCCTCTTTATCACTCCAAACAGTGGTGAGTGACATCTTGTTTTTCTTCAAAGTGTTCGCACACTCAGCCTGAATATGTCCAAAACCCCCACACTCTCGACATTGCTTTCTCCTAGACTTTGCATCACCAAAATAACCATTATTAGAAAACTTTTTAAATTTGTTAGGGTTGACAGACTTACCTGATTGAGAGGAATTTTCTCTATTTTCAATTTTTTGACGCAGGCTTTCGAGGTTATTCGACATAATTGCTAAGGATTCTTCAACATCAATGTCATTACTCATGAAATGTTTGGCCTTGTGAGATGCCATGGGAAGCTTCAGCTTGGAATGCCACATTCTTCACCTTTTTCTTTTCTCGAATATTTGCTCTAAAATTCATTTCTTGGGTTTGCAGTTTACCCATGAGTTCATCTAGCT